ATACTCCAACCGAAAACCTGAAAATTTGCCGAAATTGTATGCGAAATTCCAGTGACTTGAACTTCTGTTGAAAATTTTCGGCATATGTCGCATCTTTGGCTTCATTCCCAATCCCAATCCACATTTCGTATCTGTATCTTGTATCTGGTGGCGCCGCCGCTGGGGGTCCTGTCAGTCCCCCCTGCCTCGCCCCTCAATGCCTCTGCGCCTGCGCTTTCAGTTTAATTTTTATTTCATTTTCGCTGACAATTTGCAGCCGCTGACCAGCAAAAGGCAGGGTAAAAAAGCATTTTTTCAGTGCGTTTTATTTAACGACTTTCGGCTCGGACGCATGTTGCACTTTGCTGTTGTTGTTGCGTTGCTGTTGCTGTTGTTCATTTGATTATCGCCACTGTCGCCATGTAATTTATTATATTGGCTTAACCGAGTACCCAACCTGGCCCTCTTTTTTATGGCTTTAACCTTTGGGCAACCGCCGCGTTGCTGACATTATTTAATTTGTCATTTAATTTTCATTCGCTTTCTTTTGCTTTTTTGGGAATCGAGTTTGGTGTTTTTTGTTTTTTTACCATATGTTCTTCTTGACAATGTTGCAAGAAAGTTTTTGGCAAGGCAATATGCAGTGACAGATATACGAGTATGTGCCTTGGCGAGGTGGGCATGACTTTTGGCACACATCTGTTAAGGCCTTTAAAAGATATGGCTTTAATTAAAAAGGGGTAATCACTTTTTGGCCATAAATTTGTTTTCAAAACTTGAAAGATTCAAACCTCGTTTTGTATATCTCAGAGAAATGATACTTAAATCATAAATATTTTATTAATCACTTTTAATTTATTACTGAACTTTGCTTACCGTTTTTAATCATCCGTTGAATGCTTAATTAATTATCTGAAAATTAAATTTGAAATGCCACAGCGCCCACCGTCGTTGCACGTTGAAATTCCAATGCCAAAAAAGTCGCTAAATCATTTCTTAATTGCTCAATTTGAAAACAAATGCGACCATTTAATTTAATTGTGTGGACTGTTAATTGAGTCGTAGTTTGGCCAGTCGATGCCTTTTATTTCTGCACGAAATGCAGTATATACCCTCTCCCCTCAGCAGCCACGCCCCCTTAACTGCCCACCAAACGATACATTTGTTAGATAATGGCCAGGGAAACTTGTTGTCGTTGGTAAGCCCGCCTGCATTTTTGGCCAGGCAATTAAATCGAAAATAAAAAAAAAAAAAATAAGGAAACTGCGACAGTTTTCGGGGCTCAAATGCTCAGCTGCATGGCCGTGGGCCCCGATTTTAATGATTTACAGCAGTAGCCATGGACTTTACAGGCTCTCCCACTTTGGCAGGTGGGCTAAGCGGTGTCGAAATTTGCATATATCCTATCCCCCCTATATACATATACACTTTATACATAATGCGATAATGTGCAATAAACGTCGGCGATATCGGAATTATGTTGCTGGCTTTCGGCATTTGAGATACATGCCTGTTAACTTGGTCGATAAGTTGGCTGGAAAGGGGAAATGATGTAAAGGAGGGTGGTGTGGAAAAACTGGTAGTGGAACCATAAATCTTGAGAGCATTTGGCCGAAATGCATCATCAATCATCTCGGCATGCAGATCGATTATTACAATTGCCGACAGATAGACAGATGGACGGACACAGAACTGAGTTGGCGGCGGTTGCATCTGCGGGCCCTCATTTGTATCTGATGGATGTATCTGTGGTATCCACCTCCTGCTGCTGCTGCTGCTCAATGCTGTTGTTGCATGTTCAGTTCCGCGGAAAACTTCAGCACAGCTGCACAACATTTGCTCGTGTCAAGTCCTAAAAGTTCCAAGAAAAGCTAAAAACCACTGGCCATGTTCTATGTCAAAAAAAAAAAAAAAAAAAAAAAACGAAACAAAAAAACAAAAACTAAAGTCCATTGTCCGGCACGAAATTATTTTAATGAGTTGCCAATTAGGTTGGAAAGAGCCGCTGAAGAGAGCACTGAAATAGATCAGCCAGGGAGAGAAGGTTGGCTAATAAATACCTGTAAACTGTAAATAAAATACCTGAAATCAGGCCCGATTGCGTAGAGCGGTGAGCTGTGCACACCTGTTGACTGCCAGTGCGAGTGGCATAAATACGAGTTCGAGTTAGCCTGGCTAAAAGGGTCCCCATCCTGCCTTCGATTCTGGCTTGATGTTTTAGCTATTTACGAGTCTTTTGGGGAATTACATACAGATCGGGACCTGACAGCATCCGACAGGCCAAAGTCCTTGGCTTGGAAAAGATGGGGGAAAATGTCTTGAGGCGGAATGCAGATGTGGCTGGCGATGGTGAGGGGAAAATGTAAGAAAAGAAAAAGGAAATAAGTTTTAAAAATCCTAAAAAATTAAATTACTTCTCATAGAGTTATCATATATGCAAATTTTATTTTTTAAATATTTTTAAACCCATAAATGCCTCATAAAAACACTCAAATAGCCTTCTTAGGTGTAATAAACAAATTTAAAAATAAAATAAAAAATACCAATTTGCATTCATAATGTAGAACTATGGCCACACTTAAAACTTTTATATAGTTTTTCTTCTCACTAAAAACCTTACCAAATGCAGTCAAGCATAAATCAATAAAAAGAAGAACGTATTTAAACCAATTTTAATTAGAGGAAATCCGCTTATGGCTAAGCATTTTTCCGTCCAGAAAGTTGTTAGTCTTAATGCAAATCAGCTTAGAGATTTATTTTCTGTGTGTAGATTAGCTCACGCTTAGAAGTCATGCAGCGAAGTCAGTAAAATTCTGTATTTATTTTCTCTCAACTCGTTAGGTCAATTAGCAACTGGTGCTCGCTTTTCTCATTTAATTTTCTTGGGTTTTTGTTTTCCCCCTTCTTTGCTCTTTTTTGTTTAACACTTTCTGAGGCGCCGCTTATTAACGCGTTTCCTGCCAGCCACGCCCACATCCTCAATTCAAGCGAAAATTGCTTTTCACTCGCTGGCATTCTGTTTGTTATTAATTACCCAGTTTCCAAAGACGTTTTCGGGGTACTGAGTTTGGGCTTGCCTCTTCTTATTTTATATATAACTTCTTTTTTTTTTTGGCCAATTGAATTATAACGAAGTGAAGACAATGAAAAAGGAGGGGGAATCACCGAAAGATGGCCAGAGGAAAGGAGTTCAGGGGAGAAAAAAAAGAGAAGAAAACATAATGGCGTTTGCTTTCATTATAGCACCGTGGCATAGCATAAATATTTAACCAACTGGCAATGAGATAACAAACGATGAGGGGGGGAGAGGAGGGGTCAGCAAATTTATAAGCGCGAAAATGGGGTCAAAATTATAGAGGTATTGAGGGGGGTAGGAAGGCGTAACCCAGGAGTACAAGGCAAATGTTGATAGTCCATTCATCAGTTAGCAGCGGCTAAATTACGTTCATTTTGCCGGCCACCCTCCTGTTTTTGTTTGCCAATGCCCTAGGAAAGAGTTGAAGGCTAAACAGGTGAAATTCGAGATACAATAGAGCAAAGAGCTCAAGGTGAAATATGCTGGGAGCTAAAAGGAAAGTAAACTGGGAAAATGGAACACAAAATAGAGCTCATAAAAAACAGGAGAAAACAAAATATCAGTTTACAGTTAGCAAAATACTGCAGAAAACAGGAGATGAGAAGTGATTTTATGGTCACCTTAAATATCGGTATTTTTTCGATAGGCGATGTTAAGCTAAGATAAGGTCATTCGATTGTATTTATTCCTTTGTGGCGATAATTGACTGTTACAGAATATTTTTCGATCTACATTTTTAGCTTGTTTCTTTCTGTGTATTAGACAAAACCTCCTTACAACCTCTTTGAAAACTATAAATATTTTCCATGAAATGTTTCCTCTCATTATTTCCCATAGAATACAAAACAAAGAAGAGCATTAATATCTCGACCTTGCCCTCGTTTCGCAATCTGTTTTATTTCATCTTCAATTTCGCTTCGGCTTTTATCAAAAGGATATAAAACATAGCGACGAAAGGCTAAAGGCGGCCTGAAATATTTATATGCGTGTTGATTTCTGTTTGCTGAATTTAACCTTTTTCCCCTTTTGATATAACCAGCCGACCGATGCCCACTTAGAGATAACCGACTAGGCGAAAAAGGGTCAAAAACGCAGTGGCATGTGTTGGCCAGTAGGAGAGACAGAGATATACATAGATACCCAATTTAGAGGATGAGAGTACGACTCACTCCCTCTTCAGGGCAACATTTGCGCGCCTCATTTAACTGCGGTCATAAATATTCTAAATCACCAGCGGGGGCAGAGCGACGTTAACGGCGACGTCTCAGTCTCAAGTTGTTAAGATAATAAAGTTTGTAATTAATTTTGCATCGTTAAAAGCGGCGTACATATGTAAGTGAACATTTAGGAGAATTTAAGCCATTCTCTAAATGAATTGAAGTTCCAGCTAAGTTTGAGAGGGAATTTAATTGACGAACAGGTCGAGGCCTAATGGACTCCAAACACGAGTTTCTAGAGTTCCATGAGTTTAAAAATAATTAAAATACACATCAGTTTTACAGTAAGCATTTAAATTTTTAATATCAAACTTAAAAACCGTTTTTAAAAAGTTGTGCAAGCCATGTAATGGCAAAATTTTGATGTTAAACCATCAGAAATAAACTCTATAAGCTACTTCTTAAGCTGCTTACGGTTCAAGAATGCGTGCGAGTACTGTATCCCCATTAATATACACATAAATTGAGGTTATTTATACTTATATTTATACTCCAGACCCCAGCACATATTCATATTCATAACTTTTTATGAATTCATCATTCTTATCGCCATCGCAACATAAAAATTGCATAATCATAAAAGTCTTATATAGACTGTCTGGCCTGTCCGATCATCCGGTTTTATTATGCTCATTACAGACACACATGTTAAGATATATCTTTCATTATTTTCATTAAGCATTTATTTATTTATTTTTTTGTGGCTTCCTCTTATTTATTTTTTGCAGAAACCGCCGGCGAACTTGGATGGGCATTCACCCTAATCATAGTTTCAATCATATCGGCTCTCATAGGTGCTATTGTAATGGTCATAGTTCTAAGATGTAGAAGGTAAGTTAAAGAGTTTAAACAGCTCTCTGTTGATACTAACAATTTACCTTTACTATGATCTTTGTGAGCTTTATAACGCTTATCAAAATATCCCAAAAAAGGAAATCATATTCCTTGGCTTTATGTATAATTTATGGCTTCAGCGATCATAAATGGCAATTTCCATAAAACTTTTCGGACTTTCCTTAAACATGTTCAATTGCAAACAATAAATAAAATTTGACTCTTCCCCCAGAGACCTCATAAATTGACCGTTCAAAATTAATTGGCCAAAACAAGCGGCAAATAAATAATAAAAAAAAAAGACAGTAATGAATAAACATTCAAATTTTTGGCATTTAGCTAGAAAAATGCCGCAATTAGTCATGATAAAAAAAAAAAATGCAAAAAAATTAAAAACACACATGTTGGAAAGCCCAGAGAAGAGGACATTCAACTGTTAACCCCTTGACGACCCCAACGATCCGTCATGTTCAGTCGACGGCGACATTTACAACGCCAGACAAATTGAATTTTATAAACTCATATATGGTCGGAGGGTAGACAGACACACTAGCGAATATCTGAGCTGTGGGATCTGTGTAACTATAAAGATTTACAATGCATTGCCCACACGGCCAACACCAGCAATTCAATTAAACGCCCACCCAAAAAAAAAAACAAAAAACAAAATATAAATAAATAAAAAAAATAAAACCTCTTAAGTGAATCAAAGGGGGCACTACAATGGCTGAGAATAATCGATGCCGAAAACAAAGGAACATGAAATTGCTTTATTACTTAATTGCTCTTTAAGCGAGACACACAGACACAAGCCTTTTTGGCCCAAAGGCGTTCTTATATGGCCAAAATACATAGTATGCTTTCTGAAGTCTTTGGAGTCTATCAAAAGACCGCAGAGAGTGGGTCACACACTCCAATCGCCAGATATATATTTGCAATTTCGAGTACATTTAAATAGAGTGGGGGGGAGATGACTATTAGGGGGTAGTTAGGGGCCTAAGGGGGTGGAGAACAACACACGCGACTGGCAAATTAACAGAAATCTTTGTCCAATTCAAAGAAAAAACGTTTGTGGCCGTTGCGCAGGCGCCGCGCTTTTTATTCGATTGCCGCCGCCGTGGGCTTCCAGTTTGAAGTGGAAACGCTGGCCACATGTCGCGTCCAATTAAATTGTCATGTCGTCTTATTTGGCGGCATGTTTGCATAAAATTAATTTTGCAAATTATCCGCCCAAGCCAAAAAACAAACAAATGCTAAAACCGCCAAATCCAAACAGGAGTCCGAATGGAGTCGTTTGGTTAGATGATTGACTGTGATTTTAGGAAGGGAAGGGAAAACTTGTTATCATTATGATGGATACAAGCTGGCAGTAATTGGCTTTTAAAGAGTGTCTTGTATTTTATGTAAGATTTTTTTAAATATTTTTAATTAGCTTTCTGGAATTTTTAATGCATTTTTTACATAATATAGTCGCAAGAAATTTCCAATAATGTACATAAGTGAAGTGGCGTTATGCAAATCAGTTGGCAGCCCTACAAATATCGTATAGAGTCGTGTATCGAAGAGACCGTTGGAAATGTCCACCACTCAGAAGTCGAAGCCCTCGAATAGCTGTAAATTTTAATTTTTACATGTCTTCAATTTCCCTTTAAGCAAACTCACCTCTCCTCTAGCTAGTTGACTCAATCAAGTGCTTTTGGTCTACCATTCTCACGCTTTTTGGACCAAATTTGATTTTGCATTAATCACCGGAGGACCCCCTGCGCCTGCCTCAGCCCCTTGTCAGGCCGAATGTCACGGTGTTTGCCTTGCCGTCAGCCTTAGTCACTCATTTTGGGACTTGTTTTCGCAACCGTTTTTTTTTTTTTCTCAGATTTAGCGACTGTGGAGCATGTCACGTCGTGGTCGGACGTGTTGGCTGCCAAATTAGCAGCAATTACATGTAATATCGGTTACACTTATTTGCATATTGATGCAATTCTCGATGCTGGCCGTAATGGTGCTATAAATTTGCTTGGCACATGTCTCCACCAAGTCACCAGCCTTTACGTTTGTTTCTGTAACTTTGTTTTTCTTTTTAGCTTGATTTGTTTAGCTTTTTGGCCACCTTATTGAGCTTAAGTCTTAAGTTGGCACCTGCCATTCGGTTTTTATGTTTTATTTTTTTCTGCTTTGACAATGTTTGCTCAACGTCTAGACGGGGTAATGTCTTTTCAATGGTCAACAGAGGCTTGTCGGAAAAATTTCAAAGTGCCATTGCAATTGGTGTCTTGTTTTTGACACTCCGACTGGGAAAATTCGGAGTGGCTTTTAATTAGGCAAGCGGAGATTACATAAGATTTATTTAAAAGAAAATTTAAATGACAGCTTTGGAATATTTGATGGTTTAGTAAGACTAAAGTTGGTTTAAGGTTAAAGCAAACTAACTTTAAGAGCAAATCAACTTTTCTCTGCCAGAAATTGCTCGCATTACCTGCAATTATGAGTATTAACCTCTTTAATAGCTTTGACCCTTTTTAATTCAATCTCTGCCTGCCAATACTCCACCTTTCTATATCGATTTCGGTTTTCAAAGACCAAGGCCCGCTCCTTTAAAATGGCTTTAAAGTTGGTCTCTTAGTTGGTCTTAGAAAAAAACAAAAGTCAAGTTTAAACCGCTTAATGCATTTAAGACACAAAAAGGCGTGTTCAATTAGCATGCAAAAAACTCGATCAACTCCAAAAAAAAAAAATCCATAAAAAAAGATTCGAAACTACAAGCGCAGAAAATTGAACATAACGCGACGATGGAAAATCGTAGGAAAATAAGCTGAAAAACCATGAGCTAGGTAAATTAGCGCATAAGCCAAGGCCCCCGAGACAGCAGCGACTGCTTGTTCGATTTAATTGAATTGAGGAGAACAAAAACTGCAACTGAAACTAACACTGAAAACTAAAAAAAAAAAGCTTAAAAAAAAGAAAGAGAAAAACTGAATTGGCAGTTGGGGCTCGAGTTGAGTTAACATTATAATCGATCAAGGCAAAGCGAGGGGAAAATTCAGCTCATGCCGCAGTGCACTCAATCAAATCGGACAGACGGTTAATTGATACGCACAGATCGAATGTATATATATGTCTTGATATATATATATATCGAGAGTATATGACCATTTAGGCCCCAGGTTCGTGCCGTTCAAAGTGACCCAGAAAATCGAAGTCGGCAAGTGCAAATATGTAGTTTGGCGAGTGAAAATGAAACGGATTGGAAAATGTGCTCCAGAAAAAAAGTCAAACAGTCTATAGAAAGCCATGGCAAGACACCTGCCAATTGGAAGTTTTGGGTCTTAAATCTGACAGGCCCAAGGATTGCCTTTTTTCAGCCAACTTTAAATGCCACAAAAAACATCTTCAGTTTTTCTTTCTTTTTCCAACTCAAATCTAATCCCAACAAATGGCGAATATGTTTCTCGAACTGCTGGATAATGCAGTTCCGTTGTTGTCGGTGGATTTTTATCTGGCTTAGTAAGATACCTTGTATTAGCTTAAAACTTTATCGGCGTGTCAGCCTGAGTCACACGCAACGCGCTCTTGCGTGGCTCAAGTTTGTGTCTTGAGTCATTCGTTGGCTCAAGTTTGTGTCCTAAGTCATTCGTTTTGGCATTTGCCATTCTGTCGCTGGACAAGTTTGACATTTACTTTACAAACTATACTAATTTATACAGCGGCAGTCTATTAAAATTCTGTTTATTAATTGGTACACATTTTTTTCCATTCTTATCTTTGCAGAATTAAATCATCGAATGCCAATGGTAAGTCAACAAATGTTTACTAAACTCTAAGCTATTATTCAAATTAAGGGGGAATGATTTGTTGTGGGTGATTAAATGTGTAGCAGCAGGTTATATAAACTGTATTTTATGGTTAAATGAGTGCTTGAATTAAGTAGTCATTTGATTAAAACTAAAAACTTCAAACTGCCTGTAACTTACCTTAAAAAATATCTAAGAAATTACGAAAAGACTTTGTACTTCTCTTGAAGTTTCTTCTTTTATCTTCCCATAAAACCTCCCCTTCCATCAATTTTATCCCTTCAATATCTCATTTCCTCTCACAAAAAACAAAAACCTGATCACTTTGAAGTTTTTTGCCAAGTCTGATTAATTAGCCAAGCCAAGCCAAGTCAGGTCAGGTTTTTTTTGTTAGCTCTGCTCATCATCGAGGCCCTCGTCTTCTCTTTTGCATTTTCATTTCCATTTTTAATTGCATAATTCTGCCGTTGCATGCAATTCAAAGAAATCTTTCGTTCTTTCTACTTCTTCTGTTGTTTGTTTGTTTTTTTTTTTGTGGCAACATTTTAATTTGTTTTCTGCAACTGTGGCAGAAGGAAGGCAAACCAACTAACAAAATGAAGACAAATTTTTGACGACAATGCATGAACTTCACGTTCGTGCCACAAATCAGAGATGCGACTGCCGTTGCTACTCCTCCTCCTGTGGCAGTTGAAACCGAAACAAAGAGCCCTGAAGCTACGTGCTGGCTGAACAAAAAAAAAAAAAACTTTCGGGTAAAAGAAAATTTGTAGACAAATTAAGGCAAAGCCAAAACAATTGTCATGGCCGCAGACTCCGTCAAACACGTTTGAAAATCGTGCAAAATGTAAACTCTTTTTTTTTTTGCCATTTTGATTTAGTTGCTGGCGATTCTTTTTTAGTTTTTTTCTGCAGTAGGCAGGAATTATTGACAAACGATCCCTTTTTTTGGGTCGAAAATCTTTCCCTTTCTTCGGGCCACTCTCTCTCTCTCTCTTGGCTTGGCGCCAATTTCACTGTCCGTCTTTTGGGCCTGACAATCGACATGCAGGACAAATTGTTGACGGCATTTAATGTCACAGCAGCCAATTAGTTGTCCCCATGAAAATGCTCGTTTCTTGTTGGTTTCCTTTTTATTTTTTGCCAAAAAAACTGTTTTTTTTGTTGCCCACTTGTTGAGTTTTTTTCTTTTGTTATTTCTTTTTTTTTGGCAGTACGCACGGTTGCATGTTGGTCCAGGCGAACAAAAAAAAACAAAAAAAAACAGAAAAGAAAACAACTCGAGAAACAAACAATCGCCACAAATCGTTAAACTGTCAGCAGCTTTTAAAGCGCGTGATTATGTCCAAGTCAACGTTGAGAGTTGAGAGACAAGCGCCAGTTGCCAAAGAGTTTTTTTGCGAGACTTTTTGTGCCGAAAGAGAAAATTTTCAATTGCCCAAAAATGCACATTTAAGTGGTGTTTATTTGTTGCAACATTTTCCTTCTTTTTTTCCTCCCGCTGTTGCTGTTGTAAAGGTGGAAAACTTTTTAAATTCAAATGTGGTTTGGGCATTTTTCGAACTCTGTTTTTATTGGTGTCATCAAAAAAAATCGTTAAACATTTAATTTGTTTTTATATGGCAGTTCATTTAGCCAACAATCTGACGAAAAGTGGCCGTCCAACATTTTTGTTAAATTGAAAAATTTTAAGCTGTAGTCGCACTTTGCAGTTAAACATTTAAATACAAATTTATTTTTTAAAGTGGCTTTTAAAGGAAACGAAGAAGACTATCCTCCAAGTTTCTGGTTAACCAAAAATAATTTAAAAATGTAATTACACACCTTCTTCCCCCGACTGTTTGGCTAATTTACATATTTTTGGCCACCACAAATGGCAATTGCCACATTCGCTGGTGTCAGTTACAAAGGAAATTCTTTGCAATTATCTTTGAACAGCAGCCAACGTGTCGTATGCGTAACATGATTTTAATTATGCATACAAAAAAAATGCAAGATAATCTAAAAAACTCGCAAAAAACTATATACATATATAAAAATAAATGAAAAATGCTTTGTGACATTTGTGGGCTTTTGCGATTGGCATTATCTGGCCGACTATTAAGACTTCATTACACATGTCATATTTGCCATTTGCACAGCCATAATAACAACAACAACAAAAAAACATATTAAATTCCAAATCCAAAGTGTTCGTTAAATTTTCGTTTATTTATTTTTGATTTTTCCCGCTTTTCATCTGAACAAAAGTTGACTGCGAAATATTTTGTTAACAACAATTTGCCGTTTGCTGTTTGTCGTTTGGTTTGCTGCCGTTCTGCTGACTGAGATAAGCAGTAGGAGATAAGACTGTAGCAGTTATAATAAAGTGAAGTACAGTGAAGCTTAGAATGCTAAAAAGGCAAAGAAAACTTTTAAATATATGTAAAATAAATCTATAAAAATAAAACAAACCATTTTGACAAATCTAACTTAAAAGAATATTTTTCTAAAAATTTTAAATCCTTTAAAAATATTTAAAAAATTCCTTAGATATTTTCCCACTGTGCTGCTGTGCATTGAGAAACACCGAAATAAAATCTTAAGTGCAATGCAGTTGCAGTTTCAGCCTGAGTTCAACTTGCCGCGGCTCGATTCAGCTGAGTTAAGCTGTGCAGTAGCCGCGGCAACATCGTTAACACGGCGCAAAAACAGCCATTAAAGCCAAGTTCCAGTTGGAGCTGGGTCTTTGGATCTTTTCGAATGGGAGTCGTTGGAGTCTGAGAGTTGTGTATTTGTTGCCGCATTGGTGACATGCACAAAATGCATGTATATGAGCACCTACGTACCGATAACTCCGGTTTGGGGGTAATAATCGCCGCAGTCATAGCCATTGCTGCTGGACATTCGCTTAGTTGGAGTACGTAAATCATAAGCATAAAACAGACTTCGACTTTGGCTTGGCAATGTAAAGTGCACTGGGAGAAAAGAATGGTGTTTTTTTCACTTTTCAATGAAGAATGAATCCAATTGGAAAAATGCTTCCCAACCAAAGATCTTATCTTAGCTTAACTTCGGTTTGTCGGTTATCGGAATCATATCGATTTTTAGGGTGACCATGTTGTAGGCCTACTACAAAAAGTAAATATTTTCAGTTACAGTTATATATGTACAATCAAGTTATATATTCCCAAAACCAAGTTAGTTAGATATTTCTCTCTGTGCACTATGGAACTGCATTATGCATGTACATAACTTGGGAAACCATCGGTCCCACTGTCGCTGCCGTTGCGTATGCACCACGCTAATTAGCTGAATCGCCCCAAGTGGCTCCGAGTGGCTCCATCTTTTCCAAGTTAATGAGAGTGAAAGGCGAGTTAAAATATAAATAAAAAAAAATACTATATATATATAGTACCAACTCTAGGCAAATTAACCAGGGGATGAGTTGGAAATTCGAGACCGAGGCGGATGTTCGGATGTTGAGAACAGGTCCGATACCCCGTTTATGGCCAGCAATTATACGTGTTTGCTCAGTGCTCAGTCTCAATGAGCATTTGGCGTTAGTTGTCTATAAATTATTAGCTTAATGACGGGGAGAGGTTTTATGGAATCTCGGCTATTTGGTTTTTGAGTGCCCCCTTTCAACGGTTAGTTGAGTCACACACAGTGAGAGCTCCCATTAACCTTCCCATGCCCACCACTTGGGCATTATGAGATCACATGTGCTGATATCGGAAAGGAGAAACATTTGGCATTTTCGGCCACTTGGTTGCTGCTGTTGCTGTTGCCACTGCCACTGCCACACGGCGATGCAGTTTGTTTGCCACCTCGCTGCCAGTTGACAGCCGTTTAATTTACGCTTTGTTTGTTTGTTTGTTTCTGTCTTTTGTTCGCGTCCTGAGGTGAATGTTTGATTTATAGCCCGATTATAAACCAAAATGTCATAGATTTCTGCTGCGTTTCGATTCGATTTTAGTTTGGTTTTTGGGTAAACTCTCCTCCCTCAAGAAAATACAGAAAATTCATCGAGTTATTAGTGTCAGTATTTTAGTTTCATGAGGTAACCTAAAGCTAATCTTAGAATCTTTTTTTCTCTGGCTTTTTGTTGATTTTCCTCTAAAACCAACTTTAACCCAATTTTTCCGCAAAGATTTTTTGATATTTTTTAATGAAGCAAGTGCCAAAGATAATCCACACAAATGGCATTTGTAATTTTAACGTTGAATATATTTATTTATTTATTTTTTATTTTTTGCAATTATCTGCAAGCGGCGGACAACGTGTCGTATGAGTAACATGATTTTAATTAAGCAAACAAAAGATAGCGAACCCCTGGCTCACCCCTCTTTTTATGCTTGCCCCTTGCAGGTGGTCGGCCCCAGCCTTGGTGGTGTCGCAATAACCGAAACGGTGGCCAAAACCGATCGCCCATCTCGATCAAGCACTCGGCGGACAGCATCCGGCGGCCCACAAGCAACTCTGGCGTGTGGACTTGGTTAGGCGGCAGTCGCCGTTCCTCAGCTGGTCCTGACCAGATTGGTCCGCCATCGACATCGCCGGCGGAGAACCATTATACCCACATGGACGATGCCTACAGTCCGGTGGGAGTAAGCGAGGCGCTATACGCGGAACTGGATCGCGAATCCGTGCGGTCCGCAAACCCATCGTATCAGAATACGGCCTACAGTCAGTGTGGCGAGGTGAGTAGCCAACATAGCCGTTAAAATTAAACAATCTTAAACCAACTCGAATCCCCTTTTACAGAAATATAACTACCAGGGCCACGAACAGGACATTCCCATGGTGGTCTCCTCGGCGCCGAGCAGTGCCTATTATTCGGATTTGTCGGTGACCGCGATGCCCGGCGGAGCGAGTGGCAGTAATCAGGGCGCCTACGAGATTGTCGGACTGAACGTGATGTCCCAGCCTCTGCCCAACTGGGATCATCATGGAGGAGGAGTAAATGGCGGCGGTGGTGGCATTGCTGGAGCAGCTGCCGCCATCCTTGGAGGAGGTGGTGGTTCAGGCAATGGCCTGACGCCTGGCGAGGCGGCAGCAATGACGCAACGACGAGGTCCTCGACTGGCGGCCATCAACGAGACAAGCACCAGCACTGTGCCCTCGGACTATGTCTAAAAAATAAATATAAAAAGTTTAAAAACAAAAAATTGTGAAATGTTCAGCGAGCTTAACATGTTAATAGAATATATATAGAAACAAACGTACGTTATATACACCCCATAAAATGATAAGATTAAGTTTAGATTATATTTAACTCTTGTATACCACTTAGTGCTTTGGTTTTATGTCTGATTTGTAATTTGTACACGTTACCGATATATATATATATATATATATAGATACGAATATATAGGGATATATTTATACACACACTTACAAGGCGAGAATGTATTATATGTCTAGTTTTTATATAGTCTGTAAGCAACGATTTAATCGTGGGTGATATTTAGCCTAAAAATATGCTATATTCTTATGTTCTATGTACTTTAAACATTTTCTAAAAATGTAAAAACGACAACAAACGCATTTTTTCATAGACTTAGAAACGTGAAAGTGAAAGATGAGAAAGGACATGAAAATCGCATTTCCCCCCAGGATCAGTACACGAAAATATATAGAAACGATATATACATAACGAATACAACATATTTATACACTCATATTTACAGCAGCAGAAAAACAACAAACACTCATTTAGCTCACCAATATATATATATATATATATACGAGATATATAGATATATCTATAACAATAACTGAAGAAATCAATATTTACAACGATTTTAATGCAACAGATTTAACCATATTTACCAGGGGGAAAATGAACGTGGCACGTCATATCATTTACCACACCATTATACATATGTACGCATAGCTATCTATATACTAAACCATATACAATAAACAGACTCACGACCCTTAGCGGATGTACTTTAGTTCTTAGTGGCTCTCGGCGGGATGTCAAATCCTTGGCTGATTAATTTAATAACACTCACATACACACACAAACACACATTTCCTGTACATTATTGTTTTAGTTGAAAATATAATTAAACAATTTATTGCTATTTACATTCTGAATCCCAAAAGGAAGTTGTTCTTTATTGGAAGAATTCGATTTTCTACAGTAAGTATCTTAAATATTAAGAATATATTTTTATTTTTCATTAAGTATGTGTATATTATCGATAAAAAAAAAACAAGTTTTAAACTCAACTAACTTAGATTTTAACTTAAATCATAAAAACAAAGCTTAGAAGATGAAGAACTAAAATCACATCATAAGTTACATTTCCTTTTTAAGAAAATTTTTCAAAAGTTTTTCCAATCAATTGCATAACTTGATAGACTTATAAAGATTTGCATGGCAATCTTACTTTAAATTATTATATAAAAACATATTTTTAATTTTAAACACAAATCAAACAATCGAAAACGATTGAAAACTCAAATCACATTTGAAAGATAAAGTCTTTATAGCTTACATCTAATGAATTATTGTCCTTATTTACGGAAGTTTGTGATTATTTATAGTAATTGCATATTTAAATAGTTGCATAAATATTGGTTATACATTTGTGGAACGATTAAAATTCGTTGTTAACTATGTTACTAGTTAATCCAAGGTATTAGTTTATAATCCATATTATTCCTCTTCCTGATTATTGTCCTTTTTTAAGGTTATTTGGCAATTTTTAATTAATTGCGTTATTAAATAGATATATATATAAATATTGATTATAAATTTGTATTCATTTGCAATCATCTTCCTGATCCTGCAATTCCTGAATTATTGTCTTTAGATATTTAGTAGATATATATAAATATGGGTTATAAATTTGTAGAGCGATTAAAATTCGCTGTTAACTATAAAATATGTGTAGATACTGTAAATGGTTAGTGTCATAAATCGATATTAGTTACTTGCAAACCTCTTCCTGATCCTACGTTTTTGGAATTATTGTCCTTATTAACGTTATTGTCGAATATCCAATTAATTGAGATATTAAATATATTGATATATATATATTAGTTATTGTTTTGTAAATCTTGTAATATTCGTTGGTTAACCATAAAATAGCTAATCGTAGTTATTATCGTTTTGAATCCATATTACCCACTGATATGATAGTTATAAACTGACTGCTGATCTTCTTCCTGATCATAAATTTCCTGAATTATTGTCCTTAATTTCGTTATCAAATTGTTTTATAAATATCGGTTATAAATTTGTTTTGCGAGTAAATTTCGTTGTTAACTATGATATAGCTAATCAAAGGTATTAGCGTTTATAATCCATATTTGTAACTTGCAGCATAGTAAAATCTGACTGCTGGTCCTCTTCCTGATCCGTCTTCCTTTTCCACAATTATTGTCCATCTTTACGTTAGTTTGGCATTAGCCAAATTGCTTGAGATATTAAATAGATTAATAAATATTGGTTATCTGCTTGTAAATTGAGTAAATGTCGTTGCTTAACTACAAAATAGTTAAACGAAGGTGTTACCGTTTTTAAACCAAATTAGTTACTTGCAAGATGGTAAAAGCCGTCTGCTGATCCTCTTGAATTTCGTGAACTTTACGGTGAGTGCGCAGGGCAGATGGTTGTATAAACCTTTTGCCGCATGCATGACACTCAAAGTTCTTTTCCCCAGTATGGGTCATCTCGTGGTACTTCCGGGTATCCGAGGTGGCGAAGCTCTTCTCACAATAGTGACAGGCATAATCGCGAGCCTTTTCGTGAATAGCGCGAACATGCTTCTTGAGACTTGTTGAACTGTTGCAAACTTTGGGGCAATCCTTACAGGACCAGGTCCGTTCCAGGGTATGATAGTTGATATGTAAACGCAATTCGTTCTTTGTGGTCTTCTTGAGGCCGCAGTAAGGGCAGCTAAAGTTCTTAATACCCTGGTGGCGCATCATGTGAATCTTGAGCTTCTCCTTGCTGTAAAACCGCAATGAACAGTCCGGCATTTCACAAGCAAATGGCAATATCATTTGATCGTTGTGTGTGAACCGATGTTGACTCAAGGCCGAACCATTTTTAAACTGCCGACCGCAGAATTCGCACATGTGCATCTTTAAAGGAGTGCCAATATCATGAGCCTTACTCTGGTGATGTTTAAGGGAGGCCTTGTGCCGGTACATCTTGTTGCAGCCGTCCTCTTCGCAGGCATATCGCGTTCCCACCTCCGAGTGCTCTAGTTCGTGCTGCCTCAAATTATCAAATCGGCTGAAAGCGCTCTGGCAACCAGGCTCAGTGCAATGGTAGAGCATGTGTCCTTCGTGCTCTTTCTTGTGGAGCATAAGACGTCTTTCATCCCTGTATTCGTCGTCGCAAAGGTCGCACTTGAAAGTTGTTAGTGGGGGTTCCTATAACCAAAGGGGATAATAACGAAAAATACATTAAAATATCAAATTTCCACTCACTTCCAAAGCTTCATTTTCCGATTCTGATTTATTCTCCACTAATTTGATGATAGATCGCCCTTTTAATTGCTCATTGACATTATTCTCGGGCTTTAAGTTGGTATCGCAAATTATTAACTCTGGGGCTTGAAAAAGAGCTTGTATCTCATTCTCCTCTTCGTCATCCTCCACCTCATAAACGGGGCTTCTGCTATCTATATTTTTGTTAGCAAACAGACCTGTCATGCGCCATTTATTGTCAGCGATAATGCATAATGCCCGAAAGGAGTGAAATTTTTCCAAAAGCTCATAACACTCGGAACAAATCTCACTGGGAAGAACATCTCGGTCATCAGGATCCACCACCAAATTAGTGCATTCGGAAAATTTAACGGCAAGGAGTGGTTGTAGCAGTAAATTGTAAGCTTCGTCGTCACTAGCCACTCCACAGGAGCAGACGCGGCACTTTTCCAGGTGAGCCATTAATTAATTACAATGAAATTTCAAAAATTTTATTTCACTATCAGCAAATTTCCGGTGTGTCCTGCGCTGCTCCTTTTTTCCGTTTTGTTTGTATACAGAACAGCTGATGAGATAGGGCTGGCCAAAATATTATGGACAGAGATGACAAAAATAAAAAGAGTGACTGAAACAGTGATCGATAAAAATAGAAGATAGAAGAGAGAATATGGAAAGACAATCATAATAAAACTTTTAAGTTTGAAGAGATATGCTTATTTAAACTTACATTTCACTTTTAGGGAGATATAAAGCAAGAATTAAAAGAGCTATCGATATTTTTAATTAATTCATCGCCTTATCTATTTGTCACTCATCACTATTACTCTTGTAAAGTCACACCTCTAATGGAGGGTGTATAAAAAGTGGTTCCAGTTTGTTATTATTATTTTGCAGCAAAGCAATGGATGTCTCGAATGGATTCCACTATATTGAGCTGTCTCCAAATCCCATAAGATTCGATGCTGTGAGTCAGCTTACAAATGTGTTCTTCGATGATTCCAACAAGCAGGTGATGTTTAAATCTAAGGCAAATCTAATAGAGGGATGCTAATCCAATAATTATTTTTAGATATTTGCTGTTCGATCTGGAGGAGCTACGGGTGTGGTGGTCAAAGGACCAGGAGCCACAGACGATACCGTGATCTCTTTTTGCATGAGCGATCGCGGTGGTGCTATACGATCCATAAAATTCTCGCCGGACAATCAAATCCTAGCCGTTCAGCGAAAGGAAAATGCGGTGGAGTTCATATGTTTCCAGGGGGATCAGCCTATGCTGCAGGAGATAATTACACACCAGGTAAAAACCATGATACATGGCTTTGTATGGGTACACAACCGGGAGGTGGCCCTGATCTCGAATACAGGTGTGGAAGTCTACACCGTAGTTCCAGAAAAGCGGCAGGTCCGCTCTGTGAAGTCCCTGAGCATCGGAATTAAGTGGTTCGCTTGGTGCTGCGATGCCAATGTGGCCCTGCTCTGCACTACTGAGGGAAACTCTCTGATTCCAGTTCTGGTCAAGCAGAAAGTCATCACCAAGCTGCCCAAAGTAGACTGTAAGTCGATTCTAAACTACCTTTAGAGCTGCAATTTATTTACTGAAAAATCCTCTTTCAGTGGGCAGTCCAAGTCGCGATGTTCAGGAGAGCAAGGTGACATTAGGCCAAGTGTATGGAGTTCTTGCCGTGCTCATCCTCCAGCCAAATATTAGCACAGGACAGATGGAAGTGGAGGTGCATTTGCTAAACGGACCTGGATTAGCGCCTCGAAAGTGTCATGTACTTCGTCTAAGCCTGGTGGGTCGCTTCGCCATCAACACAGTAGACAATCTGATTGTGGTGCACCATCAGGCTTCGGGTACATCGCTTCTTTTCGACATATCCCTCCCTGGAGAGGTGATCAATGAAGTAACCTATCATACACCCATAACCCCAGGTCGCTCAATAAAACCATTTGGCTTGAAGTTACCTTCCTTATCACCTGATGGGCAAATCTTGCAGTGCGAGTTATGTAGGTATTATATGTGACCATAAAGCTCCTTGATTTATCTTGAATTTCTTACAGATTCCACTAACTGGGTGCTCTTCCAGCCCAACATTGTAATCGATGCCAAGTTGGGTTGCATGTGGTTCCTTAACCTGTGCATTGAGCCTATGTGTCAACTCATTTCGGATCGCATTCGTCTCACAGAATTCCTGCTGCAGCGTAGCAACGGCAAGCAAATGCTATTAAAAGTGGTTGGCCAGCTAGTAGATGATCAGTATAAGGGAACTCTATTGCCAATTTTAGAGACCATATTCAGCAGGATTAACAAGATATATGCGTAAGTCAAATATTACTTATCCAATATGTATGTATAAAAGAAAGTTTATTCTAGGTCCTGGGTTCAGTTGGAGTTGCAGAATCAAACTGCTCAGCCCTCGAATGTGAAGACTTCCTCACTGAAACAAAGCACTCCGCCTGCTGTGCTCATCGAGCAAATAGATATGGTGCAGATCTTCCAGCGTATTGCCCGCCGGAAGTACACAGAATCTATATTGATGATGTATTTGCAATCCCTGAACAAGTTTAATATTGCCGCCCAGGAGGAGCTGAGCAAAATGATTATCAGCGAGCTGATCAATAATCGTAGCTTCGACACTCTGCGACGCCTGGTCAGCTATTCCATGCTGCTGGAATCCAAGTCCGTGGCTTGCTTTTTGCTAGCCCATTCCAATGTAGATACAGCCATTTCCCAAGTGGCCATCGATATGCTGGGCAGGATTCAAGCACATGAGGTGGGTTCTAAAAAATATAGCACTTACGGATATGTATTTATACTTTAACATTTCTCAGATCATTATTGAAGTAATGCTTGGTCAGGGCAAAGTAATTAATGCCTTGAGATTGGCTAAAAACTCACTGGGACTTGAAAAAGTGCCAGCTCGCAAGTTCTTGGAGGCAGCTCATAAGACCAAAGATGATCTCATCTTTCACAGCGTATTCCGATTCTTCCAAATGAGAAATCTGAAGCTCTATGAGACCTTGTCGTTTCCCAAGGGTAAGCAAAATATTCGAAATTAAACGCTGATTATTAAACCTATTCTTCCTTATGTAACAGCTGAACAATGCACTGAGTTTATCCAGCATTATAACAATACTTTTCCTGTTGAAAATCCAACGAGACCGGCAGTAAGTTAAAGGTAAAGTGGAAAACCAGTAACTTGTGATTTTTGTAACTGAAAGTGTGCTTGAAAAGTATGAAAATACCTTCGTATTGTATTGTAAATATATCCAAATGAATATTATCCTTCTGATTCATGAGTTTATGTTCCAGATCAAACATAAATCATTAATATTTTATACCAAAATAAAAGAATGACTCAAGAAAACGCCAAATGACTTTCCTCCCATAAAAATACAGACTTTGTCATGCAATTTCTTTACTTACACATACAATACACAGAGTTGTACAATAAATACATAGAGGAATAAATGGAATATACAAAAAAGCATGAAGCAAACTAAATAAACCGCCTGGGCGGTGCTTTCAGTTGCAACGCCCCCATTTCCAGAGACGTGGAAATGCTGATTAGATTTTTATTTGGCCGCGGCAAACCTAAAGTTTGATCCGGAATAGCCGTAAAGCACCGTGGACATTCTTCAAACTGAGTCTCCGCCTCCTCCATGCACTCCTCATGCAAGCCATGACCACATCCGCCCAAGATTAGCACCTGGCTGTGATCGTACAGCCGTTGGCGACACACGGAACACTTGGTAGTGGTCACCCACAGACCACGACGCGCATCTTGATACTGTTTTTCAAACATCCGGTGAAGATCTTGGCACAACATTTCAGCAGAACCTCGCAAAGCCTCCGTTTGATGCCTTGAGCTATCCAGCATGCCCATCAGCAGATCCTTAATATCACCAAAACTACTTGACACATTGTGGGTATTCATAATCAACTGAACCAAATTATGTAGATCGATGTGCTGCGAGGCTTCGTGCAGCAGAGATTTGGTGACGGACTGCAAATCCGGATGGGGCAGGATATATTGCAATAGAACAAACCAACAGCGCTCCAGTTCCTGAGCTGGTAGCGTATCTACAGACCGAGCCAAAAGAGCCGTTATGATCTGGGCTTCATGGGCTGCTTCTTCACCAGTTAAGGATTTGAGCAAATCCATGGACAACTCAAAGGCTTTCGCATAGCTCTCTTGCTTCTCATACAGATAAATCACAGATCGGTTTAGGTGATGGCGTTCAGCTATGGCAATGGCCTGCTCCAAACGATAGCCTGAATTGGAGCATATGAATTCCTCGACAACAGCTGGCGACTCCATTTTACAATGCAGCTCCAGCAGCAATTCCACTTGACTGGCTTCCAGTTCATATTTTCGATCATTGAGGCACTTGAGGAACACATATAATAAATCCTCCTCCTTTCTCAGGTTATCTAAAAGCTCATGAATCTTTTCGGGATAGTGCAAGGCCAATAGTCGAGTAGTTTCCTGTGCATTGATCTTTAGTAACTGCCTTAAATGCCTCCTTAACTGCTGGTAAATGCATCTCTCTGGTGTCGCTACATAGCGTTCCATATAAGCAAACATCGTTTCATGCCTAGCTTCGTTTTTGATGTAGCAATCTAGGATGGTATCGTACCGGCCAAGCTTCTCCAGCAAGTACTCCACCACACAATAACACCTTGCCCGGTCTGCCAGTTGCAGTTGCTCTTCATCGCTGCTGATATCCGCCAGGCAGTTGGAGGATAGCAACTCGTGCCATGCGTTCTCCCGTTCGGAATGTTGTCGACTACTCTCGTTCGCAATCTCCTCCTGTGCCAGGTGGCTCAGAACACGCTCCAGAAGTTGTCTATCTCGCGGCAGGCACTGCATTGATATCTGCTGAGCTATAAAGTTTAGAAGACAGCCGATCTCCGCCCACTGCAAAATGAAAAGATATAAATATAACGGTCACTAAAAACATAAACAAGAAATCTTACCGTTGCATTCTCGGGCGACATTATCTCCAGCAGAAGATTGATAATCCTCTTACGATGCGATAGTCCCAGCTCGTTGCTAAACTCGCGTTCCTGGAACGCCAGCGATATCACGTTTAGCGTTTCCCGCGTGTCAAACTTGAGGAGAGCTCTAAGATACGGATAAGGCAGCTCATCTCCGGCAGTTTCCTTGGATTGCTGGGAAGTCAGACAACGCAGAACATCATGCTTGACTTGATGTACCAGCTCGACGGGAATTTCTCCGCTGGGATAACCCCTTCCTGCCAGACAACTGGACACATAGACCAGCAGGCAATTCCCCAAATCCGTTTCCTCAGGTGTCACCAAAGGCAGAAGTTCCGTCAGCGCCGCCGTATAATCATTCAAAGCTTGGGTATTGAGGTAGATTTGGGCTCTATACAAACGGTGCTTCTTAACAGCTTTCAGGACTTGGTTCAAGTCCAGGCACATCCAATCCAGCTTCAGGATAAGCTGCTCCAGTTTGGCAGGAGAGTGTTCCAACCAGTAATCCACCAAGGCTTGGGAGATCACCGGATTGACACTATGTATCGTTTCCTTCTCTATATGTTCAGAAATGTGCTGAAGGAAGAGCTCAGTGCTGCTGTTGTGCAACTTCTCCCAAAGCTGGGTCCACAGAAGATCAAGTTCACCGATGGTTATTAAGCAGTTAACAATGGCACCGAGACAATATTCGGGTGCCCGGGCGGAATTTGCAATGTATTCTTTGAAGAGCATGATGATACGCTCTTTGGCTTGGGCACGTTTCCTTGGACGATCCACAGAGACGAGATAGCCATCTAGGGCAAGTTGACACGCTTCCTGCCAGCGATGGTGTTTTACCTAGAGAAGATTGATATATGGCTTTAATTTCCTTTCAAAATCTTGATCTATGAACCTACCAGGTAGCTAATCCTCTCGGACCACGTCCTAACTCCTATAATATGCAGGGATCTGGCTCCCAAAACATATAGCTGCGTTCCCCTTGAAACCACCGAATTATAACAAGCATTCGAGCCAGCCAAAGCAAAGGCAGGCGACACATTTCCACCGGTGGCCAGTCCCTTAAACTGCGCCGAGCCATAAACTAAACCAGCGTTGGCCATGTCCATGCATTCCAGTTCTTTACTGGATCTTACGTCCACAAGGTGAAGTATTTCCGACGTGTCCAACGAGGCCACACACTTTGGTCCCAGCCAATGGGCAGATAGGAGACTTCCCTGAAGTTGGACATGTCTAAGATACAAAAGGGTGATCCTTCCATTCGAGACGAAGAGTTGGTGAAAGAATAATTGATTTCCTCGGCCCACAACAATCACGGGATCTACGGAACGTGAAGTATCTGCAGCTTGAATGAGGACTAAATGCCAGGCGAGAAGGGGTAAGCAATCCGGAGGTCCCTGCAGCACATGGTATTTGATGACCCTCAATCTGGGACGCACGGTAACGATAAAGTACTTGGACAGCGTGGCCAGGGCCACAATACAGTACTGATCCAGCTCATGGCGACCTTGGGCGTCCATTATCAGAGGCTCCACGGCACAGACTTCTCCACGAGCTCCGGAAAAGAGGCACCTAGACTGGCAGCCTCGGATTCCGAGTTTTCGGGTGAAACTTAGTGACCACACCGAACCGCCAGCATCGGCACATAAGGCTAGCGAGGATCTAGATGTCCATTTGACATGCAGGACACCAGTATTCGGGGTTATCACATCGAACAGCTCCCGGAGGACATCTCCTGTATGAGTGTCCATCATGGCAACCAATCCTCTGGAGTAACCCGCCAAAAGCCGAGTGGAGTCAGCATTAAAAGCCAAACTAGCCACAGCACCCTGACCATGCTTATCCTGATGAGCCCATCTAAGGGTTTGGGTGACGTCAAAGTTGAGGATATGACCATGCGATGTTCCAATCGCAATAAAAGCGGAAACGGCACAGGAACTGGTTGCTCCGGCATTAACACGGTCCGCGGCGGAGGCGAGTTGGGCAGAGATGCCATGTAGTAAAGTATATCTCATGATGGAACCGCCACCGCCTCGACCATCTGTTCTTATCGTGGAATCCTCGCCAATCGAAGGGGTGGGTGTGGCATGGGGCACCGGCATTCCCAATTCGGAGGCCACATCCGAATCCGCCTCGAATTCACTGAGCACCGCCTCCAAAGTCGGCAGAACATCGGTGGGCGGTATGGCAAACTCCGCATCATCAAGCTTAAATTTGATAATTCATTAGAAATCGTTATATAGGGCAATATTTTTCGGTGAAATTCAAACTCACATCCTCAAAATCCAGCTGCAGAGATTCGGCCAGCAAACTGTCCGTAGAACCGCGCTCGGACTCCAGCAGCGATTGCAGCGACGGGGCCTTCAGCTCCGACATGCTCCCGGTTCTTTCGATCCTGATCCCTCCCCCCAAACTAATAAATTTAAGCGATTTTGTTTTTATCAATCAGCTTTTACGCCCATCAGAGGACTGTCCACTCGTTCGCTAACCAGATTTTTTAGTTTGGTATCGATATTTCATATCGATGTTTGGGGAACCAGTACCAATTAAGAATTTTTTAAATATTTAAAAATCTCATAGATTTAATACATATATATATATTATATTTGTATATTTGACGTCAATGGAAAAAAGGTTAACTATTGAGGCACGAAAGGAATCAAAAACGATATTATGTTTTTTTTTATAAAACTTTTACATATTAGCAGAAAATTTTAAAATTACATCATTCCCAAGTCATCGATTGTTATCGAATATCTAAAGTCAACAACAAATGTATCGAACAACAGTTAGCATCGAATAGACATCGTCCAATTATGCATCTCTAGTTCATCTTTGTTTTCATCGCGTTCGGTCTTGTTTGCAGCGGACGATTTTTTGCTGCTCGCGAGGCCAGCAGAAATTAATTAAAATGCAATAAAATATGCTACAAGCAATACGGATGATCGCGTTAACAGCAACAAAAATGCGTGCCGCGACAGATTTTTAATCGCCTTTGCTTATCTGGGAATTGAAGAAGCCAGAGTTCGCGGGGCAAAAACAAAACGCGAGTGGAAATTTCGATTTTTGTATTGTTTTGTTGCTATGCCTGAAACGCTTGTGCAAAATGGGCAATAGCAGACTCTAACGAATATAAATAAACAAAGTGTTTTGAGTAGGAATTATAAATAAATTATTTGTTTATTTGAGCGTGCGGCGGCTTTGCCAAATTTAATGCTCTTTCTCTTTCTGGCATTTCCACTCTCTTCTTTACGCGCCTTTCATTCACTCGGGCGTGTGTGTGCATGCGTGTGTGTGCGAGTGACGTAAACAAATGCATAAAAGCGAATGAGTGCAAGAATTTGAAAAATGCGATTGTCGACTCACGTGCCAAAAAAAAACGTAAAGTAACAACAAAAGGAAAAAAGCGAGTGACAAAAGGGAGAACAACTCAAGCAGCAACAAATTGACATAACAGTATTGTTTTCGGCTCTCTGTTTTGTGCATCGTATTCGTTGCATTTTCCTGGCTCAGCTGTGCAATTTCACCTTGGTATTGGTGAGCGCAACACGTTTGTGTGCGAGTGGGAGAGATAGAGAGAGCCAAACTTAAACTCCTCGGTCAGCGTCGCTGCTGCAGTCAACGTCGGCAGCGTGCGTCATTGATGCGACAGGTAAGAAGAAGAAGCAAAAGGAGGCAGTCAAAATATGCCCAATTTCCCAAATTACCATAGTTAATTACTCAGCTAGACAAATATGAATACGAAACTTATCAATTAGGCGCACAGGCGGCACCTTTACAGGTAATTTTCCCAAACACACTCACACACACACATTTATACGTAAATAAAGCTCTTCATGCAGCTTCGTTTACGTTTTTCGAGATAAGGCAAACGAGTTAATGACACTCGCGGAGCATTCTTGCACACGCTGCTATGTCTCCTCTTTCTTTGCCCCTGCTCCGGTTATTCTGTTTTTTTTTTTTTTACCTCTGCTGCCTCCTACCCCGTTCATCATGCTATTGGCCCCAACTTGTCGATCGGAAATCGCTGGACATTGTTTGTTGGTCGCCCGTCGCCAGTCGCAAGACGCCCGTCGCGCTAGTTTTTCCACATTTGTCATACACTAACCATAAGGATGGGGTTGCCTGGATTTCTGGATTAGAAGGTTTTAAAGGGGATCTTGATGGAAATAGTTAATATTTTCTCTGAATTTTTAATTAATATTTAATATGAATCTTTTATATTTCAATAAGAAAAGGAATTTGTTTTCCAAAATTACCCGAAAATGAGCTTTAAAATTTTTGGAATATTATCAGGATTTTTATTATATTTTTTAAGGGTTAGATTTAGATTAGATTTAGGAAGTTCCGATGATTAATTTTTGGGGATTTTTTAAGTCTGTATTTATATACATTTTTGAACAATGAAATTATGACTCGATTTGTTTCTTATTAATTGAAGGGTATTCTGGGGTAATGCACTTTTAATTAATTTATCATTTAATTAACCATTTTGACTTTTGAAAGATCAAAACTCTCTTGATTAATTAAAAAATATGACCAATAATGTCTTTAACTGGTCAAGAATAATTTTAAGTTTTTTTTGTATATACAAATATTTAAAAAAAAATATTTAATTAGTATTCCTTCTGATTATTGATTTTCTTTTCCGCAGAAGTAGGTTGTTTTCTTAACAATTTAACTTTCCTAATCAGTAAATTTAAGCTGAAAGAACAATATTTTCTTTCATTAATGAGATGTTATCTCTTGTTGATGGCAATTGAAACACAAATAGCAATTAAACAGCCAAATAAAAAGTGTAATTCATCTTCAAATGCAGAGATAAGCTCTTATCTCTATACTCAAATGATTTGGCATTTAAAATGAAACAATTTATTAATTATTGTCTACACGAGTGTCTGGATTTAGAATAAAACAAAGCACTTGAATTTTTAAAGATTTTCAGAAGAAGTTCTTGAAGAAGGCCAAAAACCGAATAAGTTTTCTTGGGAGAGCATTCCATATTTGTGGGACCTGAGCCTCGTCTTGCCCCTCTAATCGTTCTTGTTTATTATTGTTGACCAGGCTCTTTTTGTTCCTTTTTCTTTCTCGCGTCTGGCCTTTTATTTTCTTCTCGTTCTGGGTGTGTTTGTGTGTGTGTGTTCGTCGTTCATGGTCACAAAATTTATTGGTCAACATTTTATCTTGGCCCCGGCACCCACGTTGGACTCCTTTTCCAGCTTTGCAACTTGTTTGCTTCTCATTCTTACCTATTTTTCTTCTTTTCTTGGCCATTCTCTCCGCCGGCTGGCCGCCCACATGGAAATTTAACGCTTCAACACGTTCAGATTTTTCCCGAAAAAAAAAATAGCCAGCCGAATGTTTCCCTGAGAACGCAGCGCAGCGCTCAAAACAAATATTTTCAAGATAAGTTATGGGGCATGTATAGCTCGAGTTCCGTTGCCGTTTCTCCAGCTATGAAAAGTTTAATGGGAAATATCTTAATTTTTATAAACTTGGCGGCACACATAAATTATCGGTGCGGAATTCTTCTTGCGGCTTTCATGGTTTTCCCGTCATATTTTGTTTTTCCTTCTCTCTCCACTGGCTTTTTGTTTGTCTTGCGCATACTTTTCGTGACTTTCTGCTTTTGTTTATCTTGAGGCGATTGTTTATCTTGATGCCTCTCAGATATTTTCGGGTGCAGCCTCTCTCCTCGCCCTACACTTTTCCTATAGAACATACAATATACGTATGTATATATAGCAATATAGCCCTCCATCCAGCAAATTGGCAATTGCAGCTGCTGCTGGTGCATAACTCAGCAGGCCCTTCAGGCATTAACCCTTTGTTGCCCACATGATAAACGATAGCTTGTTAATAAATCACAAGCCAAATGTGTTCGAGTTTGTGTGTGGCTCCTGGCTTTGGATGTCCTGGGTGGTCAGGACATGTAGAAAAAGTAGTAACAAGGTTGTCTACGTAAGTTTAGGCACTGGGAAAAGTAATAAGGAAATAAAGAGGGATTTTTATTGATACTTAATTATGTGTTAAATTTATAATCTTATTAATAAAAAGGTTTATGAAATATAGGCTTTATATTAAGAAATATTTTCTAAGAAAAATAACTAAAAAATATTTCTTTTTGCATGAAAAAAGACATCGAAATAAGCAACTTAGTTTCCTTTTTAAGATTTCTTATAAATCAAATTATTAAATCGATATTTTCCACTGTGTACTCCTGTGCTGCATCCCCTGGTTGTATGCAACATGATTGGCTATGCTCTCAGCACAGGATACTCGTATTTCATATGCCTTTGGTAGATTTATGAAGTGCCGGACTGAGTCCCTAGCCGAGTCCTTAGCCGAGTCCTTTGCCTTTGCGTTTTGGCTCGGCTGCCTTTGGCATTCTAATAATTTTTTATTGTTGTCGTTTAAGTGGCCCATTGTACAGCTGGCAACATATTGTGTACTTGCTGCTGCTGCTGCTGCTGCAACATCGTCCTGCCACTTGATAACAGTAGGTGCCTTCTACCACCAGGCCACATCCTTCATAACTTTTTGTTTGATTTTGACTTTGGCCATAAAACCAGTTGCCTTCCAATTCTGCATTCTTCTTGGCCTGCAACTCTCAAGTGACTCTCTCTCTTGATAGAATACGTTTATAATTAGACATTGGTGATTTTCGTTTTGTTAAACCGGAAGAACAGCTTTCGGGGCAATGTCTGTCTGAGATTATTATCAATAATTTTAGTTAATTAAAGTTGAGTGAGGAATTGTTGGCTGGAATTTGTGAAGTTGAAATGAAGATTCAACATTCTTTAGGAACAAGTATTCGGACAGGCTAACTTTGATTAATTTCGTGGGTTTGGAGGAGATGAGTGTAGCTGTTTAATAATTCTCTTTTAACAAATTGCTTTAAATAATAAGTAAGAAAGCAATCGTTGAAGCTATTTTTATTCGTAACTTAAGTACTTTGCGGGCAAAAGGTAAGGTTTCTTCCATTTAATGACTTAATTTGCCATTAAAATCTAAAATTTACTTCCCTGAAGTTTGATTAAATCCACTTGATCTTCTCAATTGCTTTCAAACGCTTACTTTTGAGTTTGAATACAGTTTTAGAGCCAATTTTCTACTCCACATTCCATTAATCCGATTTTCTGGTTCAATTCTATTAAAAATCATATCTTCTTAGCCTCAAATTTGTCTCATTTGTTGTGCTTAGAAGATCAAAATATTGTTAGATTTTTAATAGACTTTCCACTTAAACTGCTTCAATGAAGAACTTTAAGTACAGGTATTGAACCAGTTTCCTACTTATTTCTTAGCCTGGCTGGAAGAACTACCGAGTAAAGCCGATCTAGGACTTAATCTGAGACCATTCTTCACGGCAATCTATTATGTCTAAATTTCAGCTCACGCCTTTCTGCTGCTTACGCCCTGGCTGACAAATCTCGTTTGATGCGGCTTAGGATGATGATGCATTGAGTGTCCCAGTTTGCCTCCAGCTTCCACCATC